AACGATGATTTGACGGTATCGTGACACAATATCTTTTCACGATAAATTCACCATGTATGTCAGCTATAAATCTCAAGTCACGATTGGTTCGTGTATACAGTAAATCAAACATGAAAAATCTTGTTCAGAGAAAATGACGAGATTTCTAACGTTTCTTCAAAATCACGACTCATTGTAATAAAATTAGAATAGTTAAACTTGAAGCTTATTTACTAATGTACCTGTAACATAACTTGAGATTAATTATAATCATTTCAAGTTTTCAATTTTTAATAAAATTTCGTAACTCGAATTAAAATTTTTGTTTGTAAAAGTTATTTGATTTTAATTTAAATAAAATGATTTCAACTATTTAATGAATAATAGAATGAAACGAAACATAAAAACAAAATTCTTTTTGTGATTTTTATGATTTTTTAATAAATGAAAAAAGGTGTTTATTATAATAATAATTATAAAAAAAAGTGTTTTTTATTATAATAATAATTGATATCTACTAAAAATGACTTAAAAATTATTTTCATTGATTTTATGAATTTTTGTTCAATAATTTACAATAATTAAAATATTTTGTTATTTGTTATTATTTTCAGAAAATAATATTTTTATTTAAAAAATTAAAGAATTTGAATTGTATTAAAATAAAACAAAAATCATTATTTCTTAATTTTATTTATTTATGTTATAAATATGATTTTACATATTTGTTTAAATATTTAAAAAATTTATTTATTTATTTATCTACATTAAATTTCTTAGTTTATATTTATATTTATTATTAGTTTATAGTTTATAATTTATATTTATTATTATTATCATATTATTTATTTAGATTAATGATAACTGATTATGATTTTTCTTAAAAAATTGATTAAGATAGAAGATAAGACATTTATATTTTATTTAATTTTATCTATTAAAAAGTTATTTCATTTCTCTTATGATATAGGAATTACTTATTGATATTGATATGATATATGTTGAAAAATTAAATTAAATTAATGTTTGAAATATATATTTAAAATACAAAAAGTTAAGAAATACTTTTATTCATTATATAAAAGTTAACAAATAATATTGCCAAATTAATGAAGTATCTGAGAGTATTTCTGTATTTGATATACAAAGCATTAATTTTTTTCTGCAATCGTTGTGTAATGTTTTTGATAAACACTGAAAATTGAAAAAAATAATTGTTGATATCATTTTTACATTTTTTTATAACAATTGTAGCCTATATTTTAAGTCATGAATCAATAACAATAAATACATTGTAATAATATATCGTTAATTATGTAATTTAACTTTCTTTAACTGCTCATTCACCTTATATTGGTTAATTTGATATTTACATTATCATAAAACAAAAAAGAAAAAAATAAAAGTGAAAACGAGAAGAAAATCAATGAATTAAATTATAAAAAAAAATTATGCTTTCTATATAAAGATATTTTGAAATATACTTTGTAAAAATATTTGCAATGAATGTTAAGATTATTTTAAATTGCTCATTCTAAAATAAAATCATGATTTTAAATTATAGAAAACAAATTTTTCTAAATGTTTTAAAAATTAAATTAAAAAAAAATTAATTTTTGAGAGATTACAAGAAATAAAATTTATTATATTATAATAACTTTTGTTAATTAAATTATTATTATTATAATAAATTTATGTTAATTAAATTTGAAAAATCATTATTTTTTCAATGATTATTTATAAGATTAAAAAAATTGATATTCATCATTTGTTCTATTGTATCAGAACAGAATATTGGAGAAAGGATCTTACTTTTATTTAAAAATGTTCATGAAAACATATACAATGAAATAAATTAAACTTGAATAATCATTAGAAACTTATTAAAATGTTCAAAAATTATTATTTCTCTTGGAATTAATATATTAAATGATATAATGAATCAAATATGTGGTAAAACTGCTAATTTTTTGGTATGTTATTATTTTATTAATATATAATATTTATTTCGTTTCTTTCTTTAAATGTTTAATATTTTATTGAAAAGAAATTAAAATAATATTTTTGCAATATAGTTATTTCTATGTATAGATATATCATTCATTTGCTATAATATTGATATAATAACTTAAAAATTATTTTGAATATTACTGCGTAAGGATTTCGTATCGAAATGTCAAATTAGAAATGCACAGTTGGCAAATATAAATAAAAAGAACAAATAATAATGATTTTATTAACTGCAACAATTCAAAAACTACAAATTTTGAATTGTATTATTGTTGCAGCAAATATGTATAATTTTTTTGTGATAAATAAGAAATTATGTATTTTATTGTATACTGTGCTGTTACAAAATTTAAAAAAATTTTAAAAATGAAATATAATTTTCATATTTTCTCTATATAAAAATGTAATGAAAAAGTACAAAATATATGAAAAAAATTTTATTTGTATTTTCATAATTTTGATATCAAAATACATATATTGATATTGATTTATTTATTATTTAAAAATTAAACAATATTTTAATTATTTTTATTATTAGTTGTTAATTAATAATTAAAAAAATAATCATAATTAATAAATAAATAAAAAAATAATTGAAATTTATTTCTTTAAAGGAAATTTTAAAAATATACAATTTTTTAAAAAAAATTTACTTTTATTTTTTAATATTGATCTATCTGATTTATGTTAAAAACATTTTACCAAAAAAAATAATTATAACTGTTATATATGTGAAAAAATTTGGAAGATTATAATTTTTAATATTATCATGTATAAAATTTAATGTAAAATAACATTTTAAATAATATTTGTATAGCGACTAATGCATTAGAAATATTTTAAGTATTTATAAATAAAATTAATAACAAAATTATGCTATTTATAATATTCGTAGCTATGAAAAAATTATTCTTACATTTTTTTTTGTAGAATTTTCTTTTATTATAAATGATAAAAATATGTAATCAGAGAGAGTTGAAAATATACAATTCTATTCTATTCTAGTTTTCACGAAAAAATTTCAACGAAAAAAATAGGTAAAAATAAATATAGTATATTTACCTCTTTAAATTAATATTCTAATATCTTTTTTTATTTTCAATTTCAACTATATCCTTCATTTCCTGTAATTTATTCTGTACATTAGATGTTCAAATTATATTAAAAAAACCTATCTACTTTTAATTTTGCTATTTTCTTAAGTATTAAAAAAAATAAATTTTATATTTCAGTCTTTTAAGATTTCAATTCATGCTTTTTTCTCGATAAAAATATATAACAAAGGAATTCATAATCGTTTATGTAAATAATGAGAGTTTAATGGCAACGTAACATATACAATGTAAATTACATCTATTTATCTTTCTTTTTTATAAGAATCTATTCTTTTTTCACTTTCTATGTCTCTTTTATCTCTCTCTCACTCTCTTTTTCACTCTCTTTTTTTTCTAGGTACATATACAATGTACATTACACAATCGTTACAAAAAAGCAATATGTTTTTCTTCTTTTTCGTTTTAGTTTTTTTCTTTCATTTAATACATTTGTATTTGACTTAGCTTCTTTCTATCGACATTGTTTTACAAGATTTTTACATGTTTTTATTATTTTTTTTTTCTTTTCTACACATTGTCGATGCAATTTATTTTTTTTCTTTCGAAATTCTATATCAATTCAAATATATATTGCACTATCGTATCAATGCGCCCTGTCTTTTCAAATAAACATTAAAGAGGCTATTCTGTATCATGCGTCCAAAAATCGAATATCTTTTCAATAATTCTATTTCTTCTTAAAATTATATTTGTATATCAATCTGACATTATAGAAAATTTAGAATTTAAGAACTTAAATGGTTATAAATTTTATGTGTAATTTATCATAATGATTATCTATAGTTATATTTTTTTATTCATTTTCTATTTTTTTTTCCACCAGAAAATATTATTTATTATATATACTTTAGAGTGCAATTTGATTATACTTTACATAGTATTATACATTTAATGAATGTTTCATTTCTCTGTTCTAATGCCATATAATATATATATATATTTTCTTGTAGATAAATATATTAAATAAATTATATAATATATATTGCAAAATTTTTGTTTTAATAAATATGTTAAAAAAAGAAAAAAAAATAGAATTTTTCAGAATTTTTTTCAACTTAAAAAAAATTCTTAGAATTTTTGACTTGAGTTATAGAACAGCCTTTTTAAGTTACATTAGATTTTGAAACTTTTTAATCCTTGAATTAAATTTTTTTCAACTTATCCATCTTTTTCCATCTAAAATCATCCATCTAAAAATCTATTTTATTTTCAAATGTATAAAATATTTATTAGTTGTTAATTAATAAGAAAATAAAAAAATAATATATATAAAGAGAAACTGAATTAAAAGTATAATATGCATAAAAGAAACAGTTCTACTTAATTAGTTTAATTGATTTATAAGAAATAGTTACTATAAGAAAAAATTAAAATCAAATAAACACAATAACTGATATACATAAATTTAAAATATAGAATTATACACATTTTACTATTAGACCTTATATAATATACAAGGAATTTATTATGAACAAATATAAAATTTCAATTTCTTAATTTGGAATTTTGCTTAAAATGTACAATTTAACATTTACAATTTCTTTAATTCTATTTATCTGCAAATAATTTATATGAAATATCTTTTCTATGTAGTATGTTTGATGTATACAAAGTAACTTTGATGATACCAGATTTATTATTTTTCTTAATAGACCCTCATTTTTGTACTTCAACAAATCTTAAATTACACTCTAATAGTGATTTGCTAATCTATTAAAATTTTCTTTTGGCCTATAAACGTTACTAATATTATCTTTTAATTTCAAAATATAAAGTTCACTTATAATTACTTTAAAAATAAAGGCCTATTAAAGAAATTCTTGAGAATTAATCTAATTTAAAATTTTTAAATCTTATTTTAATCTAATTTTAAAAGAATACAATAATCTTCTTCGATTTTTATTATGTTTTCTTGGTTTTCGTTTTTTTTTTTTTTTTTTTTTTTTTAACATAGACAGGGTCGCTTTTACGACGGTATGAACGCAGCTATGCAAATATTATGCGTTAACAATTCATAAAAAGTTCCTCGCAGATCGCAATAAGCAGTTACAATAGGAAATATGTTTTATTATACACAGTGGACAGACTAGACCAAGTTTAGATGTCTTGTCGTGATAATTGTTCTTAAATTTATACTTCGGCTCTCGATTATTTAATTCGAGCTGTTTTTTTCAAAGCTACTATGATTATAGTATTATATATATTTATCTTTTTCTCTTTTTTTGTTTTTTTTTAATTTAAGAAAAAGATTAATAACAATTGTATTTCAAGGCTCTTTTATAGTTGTTATTTGTTAAGAATTAATGACAGTAAAAAACTATAAAATACGGTCGTGCTTTCGATACAGTCTCCACCATTATCTCCACAGTACAATTTCGTATATTATCGCAATTATATATTAAACGATAGTGCTGTTTTCTTTAGAACCTATTACAAATATATGATAAATTTTATACAACGTATTATAAATAAGTATAATGAAGTATTACGATACAAATTCGATAAAGTGACATATCAATATGAATTGATGATTCTATATTTCAATAATATTTTTTCTTCTTCTTTTCTTTCTTTCTTTTTTTTTTTTGTTTCTTTTCGCTTTATTTTTTTATTTTAACATTTTATAAATATAACATTTGAATATTGTTATATGATTGAAACGCGAAATAAAATATTTGGATATAAATCGAACCAAAGGAATGTGTTAACTGAATCTGAATTATGAGATTAATAAAGATATTTTTAAAAAATACATATCATATTAACGATAGTCAAACGTTAATAAAATAACTCGCTCTTTGCCTAATGTATTTTTTAATCACTTTTTCATGTATGTGCCTAATAAGCTTACATGATAAGTTTCGAATGCAAAACTTCCATCAAAAACCCAGTATCTTTGGCTACTTTGGGTATGTTTATTTAAATAATTATAATATAGTAATATTGTATATAGCTTGAATTACAGTTCAGGATGAATTTGGAACGTATAGCATCCATTTACATCATGTGCTGCCCATTTGGTGGAGCATATTGAGGTTGTTGGCTTACCGGAGGTCCTGTTGGTCCTGATGGACCATATGGTCCTGGCATGGGACCAGTTTGAGATGGATATCTATTGTATATTATTAAATAGTTCTTCATTGAGCTTTCTTTTTTTACAGTTTTTATTAACCCCTTAAGTGACCAATTTATGACAATTAGTTTGTCATATTTATATTTCAATGAAGAATTAATAAAAAAATTAGAAATAAAATTTAAAATTGTAAAAATTGAAACATTAGATATTCTTAGTATTAAAATATCCAATTTAATATAATTAAATTATTATATTGTAATTATATTATAATATAATTTTAAATTCATTTTTTTTATTTTTTCTAATAATAAATTAATATTTCTTATTATTGTTGCTTTTATTCCAAAATTAACTTAATTATTGAAAATAAAATAAAACAAACATGTTTTGGTTGATTTTTTTAATATTGATCGCGCAAGAGGTTATGTTACATCTTATTTATTAAATTTTTTAATCATCATTTATATATTTAATTATANAAAGACTTGTTTATTTTTTTATATTAAATGATATTTTTTCGAAAATTTTATCAGAAAAAAAAATAATTTAAAGATTAATATTATATACTTACTACTATATATATGAAATAAACATAAAAAATTTTTATATTCATATTATTCATATATTAATACATACCCTTGATGAGAATAAGGAAGATTGCTTTGTTCCGGTACTGGCTGACTTTGAGGATGTCCAGGAGGGGGTTGATGTGGACCTGATTGCATATGAAAATGTTGCGGTAATGTTATATTTGGCATACTTGCAGATCCCATATAATCACTAGTTGGAATAGTGGCATTATATGGTCCAGATGGACCACTTCCAACAGGAAAAGAAGTTTGATGAGGTGCAGGTACTCCATTAAATATCTATAAATTCAAAACATTTTCTATTAAATTATGTAAAAAAATTAAATTTATTAAGAAATTTAATATTCAATTTAAATATTCTTACATGTGGAGGTGGTGGTCCCTGATTTTGAAATTGATAAGGATTTATGTGAGGAGGCATTTTAGGTAAAGTATAATTTGATGGTGTAGGTGGTGGAGGTTCTCGCATCAGTGTATGATATAAATTAAGAGCATCTACTAAATCAGAACTCAACTGAGTCAACTGTGCATGCCTCCTATCCACTTTTTCTAAAGCTGCATCTATCAATGGTCCCATTGCAGTAACTTGTTCTATAAAATATCATTTAAATAATTTCATTATATATTTATTAAAAGTACAAAATATTATATGAAACAGTAAATATGTTACCTTCTAAATCAAGCATTTCTTGAGTATCTGAAGTATCGCATTGAGGATCAGCTTCATGTAACAAATGTAAAAGCCTGTCCATTTTTCTTTCATCTATTTCAACTTCAACCACTTCTGGTTCTCTTTTTACTGTTTTCACTTCTACTTCTTCAGCAAATTGAACCATTTTTTTGTTATTGTGTTCTAATTCTATATGTAAATTCAATGTAAATGTATTAATCTTTGAAGAATGTATGAATAGTTTAATACATTTCATATCTTACTTGTGAATTGTTCAGGCTCTACAGATAAATCTGCAGTAACAAAATTAGAAGGAAACAGTCCTTCTCCGTTTTGATTATTACCTTTCCACCAGTTCGGATCTGAATCGTCCAAAATGTTAACTAAAATTCAGTTAATAACAATAACTTCAATAATATATGATATATTTATTATATTTTTATTTTTTTCATTATTATATTTTTATTGTAATATATACTAATTTGTAATGTTTTGTTATAATTAAAATAATATAATTGTATAAAAATAAATTTTAAAAGAATCAAAGTCATACTTATTTCTCCTGCAAAAAATGTTAATTCATTATCTTCTGCTGCTTCAAAATCATATAGAGCACGGACCTTCCTGCCTTCTGTATTGCTCGAAGTACCAAGTGCAGAACTTACATTAGGATATAAATTGGTGTATTTAGATGGTGAACTATGCGAAGAAGATGCTTGACTATGAGCTTTACTTTCTTTAAGTGAAAGTTCTATGGCTAGAAAGAAAAATAATTCATTTAATTTCATAAATGAGGATATGTGAATAAAAGATTTGAAGATACCTTTTGCAATATCTTCCTCTTCTTGTGAATTTGTCACTACATTTGGATCTTTACTTAGTACAGTTGTACGTTTAGGCTATAAATTCAAAATGGATTTATTAAATATAATATATATATATAATTTTATTTTATATTTTTTAACAAAAAAATAATTTATACAAAATAATATAATAGTCTACATAAGTATTTCCATAACTCAGTGGAATAATTTATTCACTTGATGAATGATTACAAGAAAAACACAACAGGACGTCAATAAGTGATAGTCTTATCTTGCTACTATTTAAATAAAAGAATATGTGCAACCATATATGTTTTGCAATAAATAAGAATCTTATATTGAATTTGTAAGAAATTCTCTAAGAAAACTTACTGTATCAGATGTAGAAGTGAAATCATGACCTTCATTTTTAAGTTTATTATATAAACTTGGAATTAAATTAAGCTGAGGATCAGTTTTGAAATCATTTTCAGCCCATTTTTTTAAAAGCTCTTTCATTTTCTCAGCAATCTTTGGCTCAGAATGGTTAACAAGTTTTCTCAGATCATTTTCAAAGTCTCTTGAAGCAATTTCTAAGTGAAATGTTTTTCCACAATTGATGACACAAACATCTAATAACTAAATTCATATTTATAAATAATAAATACTAATTATAACAATTTAAAATTATATGTATTTTAAAAAATATACTAACTGTCAAAGCTTGCATAACAATATGTGGATCTGGAGAATATAATCTTTTAACAATTGATCGTAAACAATCCTTTGCATTTTGAGTAGAAGTACCAACTTTGTCACAAATATCCAACATTTTCCCCCATTCTATAGATATATTCTTCTCACTGGTTGCCTTTTCTATTATAAGAAAGATTATAATTAAAACATATTGTAATTAAATTCTTCAATCTTAATATATTATTATATTATCAAAATATATTATTAAAATTTTTATTTATAATGAAATATTATATAATATCAATATAAAAATATTAGCCTTATTAGTCTTTATTAGAATAATAAAGAATATTTTTATTCTTATAATTCAAGTCCTTTATCAAAATATTAATTGATATTTTAAGACAATAATATATATTTGCTTTAATTCCAATTAATATTCAAGTTATATATCTGTAATAGTTTTTTTTTTATTCAATATAATTTAAAATAAATAATAACATATTAATAAATTTAACATAGCAATATCATTAAATATTAATTTCATGTATATTAACATATCATTTAATGAGTATAAACATTAGATTTAGATTATTTACATTAAGAATTTTTCAATATTGCAAATAAAACAAAAATTTTGCTTTATGCATATTTAAATTAAAAAAAAAAGCAAACAACAGCTTGAGAATTTTCATATTTTGGAAGACTAATATTTTTCAAAACACATTATACTTTTAGAGTAAAAATATATTTTCATAAACATAATGCAAATAATCAGTCGAAATGATACAAAAACAAGGCTAAAATAATTCGCAAAATCTAATGTCTTAATTGGAGGTCAAATGTCAACAACCGCTTAATATATCCATCAAACATGGAATTTCGATGTTATGTAAAAAAACCAGAAAGGATCAAACATAGAGAAACAATGGATGCGAATTGTATAGGATAAAAGATTTTTTCCTGGAGTTAGAATATCACGATACAAAGCAGTCATATTATAAGTGAATTAAGGCTAAGGAGAACTCTGTTACTTACCAACATCAGCGTCGAAAGGAGAGGAAGTCTGGAAAAGACCCATTTTCTTCGTAGATTCTTTGATTGATGTGTGTTCGAAAGTTACATCAGTTACGCGCTGTCACGGAATCACGTTATGTTTTTCTTTACGCATCCAGCTGATATTTACTTATAAACACGATATGAATGACTTATAACATTCTAATCTACCATCGAGGGACATCTTTCTTTCGATCTGCCAAAAAACCTCGATACTATCGAAACATCTCGAGCGTAATGTCAAAGAAGAGCGATTCGCGTATTGAAATATATAATTAATTAATATTAATTGATGTTAATAATAATTAAATTCAGTATGCGAATATTAAAAATTCAAATAAACGATACATACTTTGAAAGATTAAATACACATAACGTTTAGAGTTACTGGTAATTTACGCAATTCGTGTCTTTTCGAAGAAGACATTGAAATGAACATCGATAATCGATACATCGTACATTACATTCTACTATCGCCATCTGGAAATAATTCTTAACATTATTTTATAAGAATATAATTTATCTATTGATGATAAAAGAAATATAATTACATTTATACAAATATATAATATTTGAAATTTTATTTTAGGAAATCAACTATTACTTAAATAGTACATACCGGATATAGTATATATATCTTACGTATTTTTGTACATAAAGTTTAAAGGAAATTTACCTTCTTATCATTTTCGTGTCACATGTGATTTTATTTATATGTGATATTATTGATTTATAAAATAAGATAATAGTAGAGTAAAATTTTTAAAAAAATTTTAATTAAATGTTATAATAATTAATTATTTTTAACATAAAAATTATAATTATGATCGATCTACAAAATTTAATTTACAAACAAGAAATAGAATAGATCTCATTACGTATTATATCATATTACATGTATATGATATGTGTATATGATATATATATTAAATGATTTATACATAATGTAAAAGCAACAAATTGCGATTAATCTAAAAGATTCATCTATGAAAATTTATTGTATTCTATTTTAGATAATTTTTATAATAAATTCTTTTATTTTTTTTTCAATTTTTTTTTTAATTTAATTTTTGTTTTAAATTCTTTTATAATGTTTCAATATTTTTAATTTAAGTACATTTTTTGTTGATTTTCTTTCGTTTTATATTATATATGATTAATTTTTATATTTAATTAATTTTTATTTAAATCAATCTTATGTTTTAGTTTTTTTAATTTAATAATTTGTTTTCCAATTAAATCATTTTTATACTATATTAATTATAATAATATAATCTTATTATTAATAAGATTACAATTTATTAATAATATAATAAGATTATTAATAATAATAATAATATATTAATAATAATGTAATTAAGATTATTAATAATGTAATTTTATTTTTAATCAAGATATCTTTGAAAAATTTCCATATGTAGAAATCTACAATTAAAATATAATATTTTGTGCAGTTAAGTTCAATTTTTGCGCAGTTAAAATGAACAGGAAATCACTCCAATCAGCCAATTAAAAGTTATTAAGATCTAACAGCAAGATGAATCAATATCATTTATAGTTGAAAATCGTAGTCGTAGATCGTGTTTCATATAGATAATTATATAAAATTTTTATTAATAGAGTTATATTATGGTTATTTAATTATAGATTATTAAACCTTGATTTAATTAATATATATTTGTTTAATTATTATTATACCAAAATTAAACATTTTTGTGACAAATTATTATTTGATTGTAACTTTGAAAGTGAAATGACTTTAAAAGTATTTATTATTATTTATTATTATATTATTTTAACATAATAAGAAATAATTCGACAACTTTTATACAAATAGTAAGATTTTATTTATTTTAGTAGAAACGTAGTTGTAATTGTAAATTTCTTCTTTTTATTTATCATAATAAAGTAGCTAAATTATTATAATCAATTATTATAATCAATCATTTGTATATATTTATTATATGTATATTCTCATATATATTTTTTTTAATTGTACTTATTCATATGTTCAACTTGTATTTGTTTTAATTTTATATTTTTATTTTCAAAGCTCTAAAAAATATTTTATAATTCAAGTTTTTTAAGAAATTAACGATTCATATTCGATATGATTTGTTGATTTCGAATTATTGAATATCCTCCCTCTTTTTTAATTTGTAAATCGATATATCGAAATTATTTCGCAATGTTGTTCGATTATTGAAAATGTGGTGTTTAAATATTTTATTTCATGTATATAATTAATCTATTGTATAATACTTATTCGATAATTATTTCTTTTCTTTTCATAACTATATATATTGAATTATTGAATATTATTATAATTGATAATTTCGATAATGATTTATTTTTTTTTATTCGTTTATTAATTATAACTAACTTAGATTATGAATAATGAAATAAATAAAATAAAATTTGAATTAGATTATTATTTTATTTTAATTACAGTTTAATCTTGTTGTATTTTATATATTTATTTTAAAGATTTTTTTGCACAAATAAATAATTGATTGCTGAATTATTTTAAGAGGAAAAAAAGATTTTCAATATGGACAAAAAATTTTCAATATTAATCTTTATAACTTTTTATAGCATTGATAATAATTTATGACAATGCAAATTTTTCGCATCTAATGATAAATCGCATGCATTTGATTTTGATTCAATTATTTAATATTATAAGATAAAAATTATAACTGATTATACACATAGAATTTTGCATAAGTACAATAAATGCTATTTATTATATTTATTGAGTAATATTCCATTTTCTGTATTTTATTTTATTATTATATTATTATGTTGAGGCTAAGTCTTCTATATATCGTACTTTTAAATATTAATAATCTTGCAAGTAAATTATCTAAAATTAAATTATTAATCTATTATAAATATATTTAGTATATAAATATATAAGTATGATATATAAATATATAAAAATATATAAATATTTAAGTATATTTAATATAAATATTTGTAAATATCAAATCTAATATTTAAATATATGAATATTTATATATAAATTAGAATGAAAATTTTAATTAGAAATGAATATTTATAATTAATAAATATATATGATAATAAATCATTTTTGATTGCATCTTTTCTTTCATGTTTTACAACAATTTAATTGCTTGATTTTGAAAATAGTATGAATAATTTTATTCTTTTTCTTTCAAAATATATTAATATATTATGTGTAAGAAAATATTTCATGATAAACAGATTTTAAAATCAAAGCTACCTGTTTTAAATACTTTTTTTATTCATTTCATTTTGTTAAAAAAATATGTTTAGATAAATAAGTTGCTTTAACGTATTTTCATTAATGATTAACTTTAAATCAATTATTTTATTGGATTATATTTTAATTATTTTTTAAATAGATGTATTTCATTTAATTAATGATTTTTTTTAATATCATTAAAATTAAAATTAAGATTTTAACAATTTATTATCTTGATAAAAAATAAAATATAAAATAAAGAAAATATATAGAATTTGAAATATGATGAAACTATATAAAAAAAATTCATTAGCCCATTAGATGCAAAATATTTATATAATTTATCTTTTTTATCAAGTTAAAGTTAAAATAAATAAATAATTATTTATTTTTATTCATCGATTTTTCGAATGCGATCATAAAGTGGATTTCGAAACGAACATTGTTATATAAAATATATTTTTTTATCGATGATTATTTCTCATTTAAAATTATGCTATATATGAATTATTTAACAATATTTTGATAATTTGATTTTTCTTCAGGAATATTTTTTAATGTTTCCTTTCATAGATATAAATTATCTTTTAATTGAAGAAAATAAATAAGAAAAAGAAAATATAGTTATGAAATAATATTTGATCTTTCTTTCTAAGATCAGAAACTAGAAAGAAACTAATTTTATTATTGAGTTTAATTCTATTATATAATCTTCAGGGATTCAATTTTGAATGGAAGCAATATTATTATTTTTTATTTCTATATTTTTATATTATATTTAATTTTTATATTAAATTTGTTAAAATGTTAAATAATAACAATGTTAAAAAAACATTACGTGCGAACTTAAATTATAACATACTAGATGGCATGAGAAATTCTTTTTTGAGATTGATATTTTAGAGTATATAATATAAAATTCTGTAAGATATTACGTCTACTTTATTTTTCATCTATGATGTCCTTTACGATTTATAACAATAAAACAAAACAAGAATTATGTTCAATTTAATAACTAAAATTGGTAAATGAAATTTAAAAATAATTTTTTAAATACATTCTTTCACATATTCTTTATATTATACATATATAAAATGGATATTATAATTATAATAATTTAATTGTTTTATTAATAATATATTTTGACTATATAAATAATAAATAAACATACTCATGAGACTATGAATTGAATTAATAAAGAATTGTGAATTAGATTAGTATTTTTTTAATAATATCAATTTGTGAGATTTTTTATAAAAATGAATTGAAATAGAATGCTAATTATATATATATATATATTATTGGTATATAATTATAAAAGTTATTATTTATGTACAATACAAAAATATCGATGATTTCATGAAAATTCGGAAAGAAAAAATAAAAAAAAATTTTTACTAAAATTATATGGAAGTGATAAGTAATTTTTATTTTTATTTTTTCGCCAATTTCAATTTTTATTTTTTATTATTGACATTTTTTTGTTTTTTATATATATTTTTCGTTTATTCTATTTTTAATATGAAAAATTTAGAAGAAAAAAAAATGAAACAAAATAAGAAATGATTTTATAAGAAGCTTTTAGTTTATTGTGGTTTCACAAACAATTTTTGCATTCATTCTAAACTTATAAATTTGAGAATAAACTACATCATATTATTTCTATAATTTATATATGCACTGACAGTCAGAGTGCGTTATCATGTTAACTCTATTAACTAATTTTGTTGAATATCACCTTGATATTATGTTATAATAACAATAATATCTTAATATTTATCTAAATTTTTATCTTTGTTTAAATACAAAAAATTAAGCAAATTTCATGTTTTTGTAAATAATATATTAATAAAATAATGCATGTTATAACTGATATAGTCAAATTAAATATTATTATTTTTTTAACATAAATGTTGCAATATATTATAGTCATTATACAATGTTATATTTGAATTTTGAAAGATTCTGGATATACATCCTTTTAATGTTTATTGCATGTACCGGTCGTGAAAGTCTCAATGATTTCACTATCAATATTCAAATGTTTAAATATTACTTTCACTTTTCAATATATATAAATTATGTATATTTAATATATACATTATGTATATTTAATATTAAATATAATATTAATTATTATATATATAATATAATATTAATTATGTATATTTAAT